TGGTACTAAAGAAATATACTCAGAATCAAATTGAAAACTAATATTTAGATTTAACCCAAATTGAGTTATTAGTATTGAAATATTTTTTTTTTTTTTTTTTTTTTTAATTCTAGGCTATATTGAACAATAGCAATACTCCTATTATGACAAAAAACCTCAGGACAGTCCCTTTTACTAATTAAACTAACTAACAGTATACTAACAGTATAAACTTGTACACATTAATCGTTTTGTATATTTATAATAGGATATATTTTATCATCCTTACAACATAAAACAAACACTGAAGGGTTCTCTAAAATATAACAAGCAAATTCGTTGAATTTATATCCCCCGCCGAGTACTGGTTATTACAAACACAGCAACTGAAGACATAAGGCTTTATCTACATGTATATATTTACCATGGCATAACAGTAATATTTTTTAAACTTGATAAATATTCAGGGCAATAACAGAGCCATAACTCTGTGTTAAATAGTAATATATGGAAATGCCAATGAGATGTATGCATACTGCATAACTAATCAAGTCCATAAATCTGAGTTAAAATGTCGGACCCGAACAAGGCGACGATATGCGCATCTCCTTTTGGTATTGAAGGTTCCCATAAAGTTTCGTCGAATTCCAGCCAGTAGTTGCAGAGAAATAGCGCGGAAACGATTTTTACTCTCTTTGCATACTGCATAACTAATCAAGGGCCATAACACTGAGATAAAGTGTCGGACCGGAACAAGCCGACGATATGTGCATCCCCTCTTGATATTGATGATTCCCATAAAGATTCGTTGAATTCCAGCCAGTAGTTGCAGAGAACTAGTCCGGAAACGAAATTCGGACCCGGGGGGAGGGATTGGACAATGCCAAAACTATATCCCCTCCCTAACCCTCGGGGGGATTACAAGTACTGTTTCCCCTCATTCAATGACAAAAATTTATATCACTGGTAATAAAATTACTTTCCTATATATCAATTAAATGGTATTCAATTACATTCACTTGTCAAATATATAATAAAACTGGCATTTTTATACCATTCACTTTTCCTTAGTAATATATCATATAACTTGCCATATATAACTGGTACATGTTTTTATATATACCATTCACTTCTCCTATATATCATATAACTGGTATTTACATATACCATTCCCTTTTCCTATATAACACATAACTGGTATTTATATATACCTTTCCTTTTTCCTACATACCATATAACTAGTATTTACATAAACCATTCCCTTTTCCTACATATCATATAACTGGTTTTTACATATACCATTCCTTTCCTATATATCATATTACTGGTATTTATATATACCAATCCCTTGTTCTATATAACATACAACCGTATTATATACACCATTCCCTTGTCCTATAAATCATATAACTGGTATTAATATAAATTATTCCATTGTTTAAATATTGTATAACATGTATTTACATATAACATTCCTTTGTTTTATATAACATATAACTGGTATTCATTTATACCATTCCATTTTCCTTTATATCATATAACTGGTATTGTTATATACTAAACACTTGTCCTATATATCATATAACTAGTATTCATAAATACCATCTTCCTTTTTATCATATTACCGGTATTTACATATACAATTCCCTTATTCTATCATGTATTATATTATATAACTTGTATTTTAATGTTATATTAATCTTTTACTTCTTCTTATCGTGTACATTAAACATCTGTGATATCATATTTTTATTAATTTTACTTAATCATTTAAATTTATTCACTTGTTTTAATGTATTCATAATTAGAACATTACTTTTCTCAAATCAGTTATTGTTTTCAAAAACTAGCACTGATCTTTAAAAAATAACCTTTACCTTTATTAAGATCAATATATTTATTATTTTTCACTGCATTTCTTTCATTTACTTATTTATAAACGCAATTTGAATATTATTTTCTTCAATTTCAATATTATAAATACATTTTGTTATATTGACCAGAAATAAGTAGTTAATGGGCTGTTTATGATGATTGTTTACTACAATATTAAGATCATTTTTTTTTAAACAAAATAAATTAATTGTGTGAGGCATGAACATTTTTAGTCTGATGTTAAGTGCATGCATTCTATCTCACTATGTTAAAAATTCAAACCACTTTTTTGTTGAAAAGGTAAAAAAAACAACATTAATTTCAAACACTAAGTAACAAAATGGATACTTAATCACTTTTTTTGTTGAAAATTTCAATGGATGTATCCTCTATGAAAAAATTTCAAATCATTTTTTTTTGTTGAAAAAAAGCCTAAACACACATTTATCATCTGTTTGAACAGTTCAAACACAGTGTAACTACATGGATACTTTATCACTTTTTTGTTGAAAATTTAAAGGCATGTATCTTTAACTGTTTAATTTCAAATCATTCTTTTTTTTGTAGTGAAAATGAAAAAGTAATCCAAATTTATATCTTTGAATATGCAATTAATTTACTTTAACCACAATGTTAATTACATGTATCCTATGTTTATTTTAATAATTAAATTATGTCTTTTATCATGAAACAAAATAGATTAAGCACTATATATGTTAACGGCATGTATTCTCTCTCACTATGTTAAAAATTGAGATCATTTTCTTTTTTGTCAAAAATGAAAAATAAAATATCATCTCTTTTAACATGCACTAATTTATGTTTACTACATGTTTACTATCACTTTTTTGTTGAAAAGTCAAACCAATTATAATCATCATATTTAACATGAAATAACTGATCCTGATCTTTTACATACTGTATAGCATCATTTCCCTTCCCTCCTCTAAGTACTAGTGATACCAATGTTAACATATCAACATCAAACTCCTCACCATCTCCTGTTATATAACAGCCATCTACACTCACTTCAACAGTATAAGGAATGTGAGGAAGACAATCAACAAACTTCTGCCATGTTGTCAAACTCATTATGACATACTTAAGCTCAATGCTCTTTAAACTCTTCATATCTAAAGGTAACTGTATTATATTGTCAGTTAACGTACAATACTGTAACTCAAGCTTACTGAGATTGTGTAACAATGGTAATACTGTGACTAGTCTCTTTGTTATGTTGGTATGATATAATTGAGATTTATTGTTTTCATCTCCATACAATACAAGTTCTTTTAATTTGTAAGATTTTCTAATAATATCAAATATTTTCTCATAAATACAATCTTTCAATCCTCTAAATGTAAATATTTCAAGGTTTGTAGTATCAGCATCTATCACACTAACAGTATCATACAAAAAAAGGTACTGAAGTTGTTGATGTTTTGATAAATTTACATTATGCTGGTTCTCACACTCACATTTAACCATACTAAGATGTATTTGTTCAAGATGACTGGCTCTCTCAAGAAAATTACAAAATGTAGTAGTATCATCATGACTCATTGTTATATTTCTCATTCTTATTGCTACAAGATTGATTATACTACTTAGGTAACTAACAACTGTTTTACACACTGGGTAATACTTGTCAGTGTAAGAGACACCATGAAGAGTCAGAGATTTTAATGTTGAAGTATTTACTTTAATTGTCTCAGAAACACAATTGTTAATCTCATCAATCATCTGTTTATTACTCTGTCTAATAAAAAACCTTAGTAATTCATATCCATATGTTATTTCAATTTTTTCAAGATGATGAAACATTGGTAAATATTTTGTAAATTTAACATTTCTTGTGTTGATTTTATCTACATCAATAGACAGAACAGTGTCAGGAACAATTTGATGCTGATCAATACCTGAACAAACAATATCACAATACTGATTAAATATATCAAAGACCAAATCTCCTATATAAAATACAGTTTTACTTCCTATACTACATGCTGCATTTAATTTTCATTGAGTCAAACATAAACCTTTTGAATATCAGTTATACAACTATGATCATACATATGCTACAATACTTATTGCTCTTCTGTATTCCTGAACACGAGAGTCTTTTGACACAGTATCAATATATGTATTTTTAAAACATATGTTGCTAATCTAGGTTCAAGACCAGATAGCATAATGATGACATTTGACTGCTCTAATAGGTCATTTACTGTTGAACATTTCTGAAAAACATCATTAATAAACTGAATGCACTTGCTTTGCAAATCAACATTTCTGTTTGCGTAACATCTGGCAAACTTATTCGTATCTTAAAATTGATACCAATATTCACTGCAGCCAAAATTCTTGCATTGGATTTGTGAAAACAAAGAGAGACAATGAGCTGTTAGTTTAGGCCAAACGGATAAAGAAGGACATGTATTCTATCTCAAAATTCTCAAATTTCAGGACAGTGTTTGTCACGCACATCTTGTGTATTTTTCAAATCACAACACAGATTTTTTAAAATGTTAAAGGACTTATGCCTTAAGGATAAATTGAAACAATGCCTCATAAGCCAAAGTGCGACACACCATATAATAAGATGACTATTTAATCTACATATCTCACATCTGTTAAATACTGAGGGAGTTTCAACATTTCTGAGAATTTTCCATAACATTCTGCATTATTTCCCCGAATTTTATTGATAATTCCAGTGAATAAAGTTCTAAAACCAGTAATAAAAAGCACACCTTGAGGTTTTATTGAGTTTACCATCACACCATAGACAAATCAATTGCTGCAAGCAATAAATTGGGTACCTGTTTTCAGGCCAACCACAGAACGTACCTTAAGCTTTTGTTCACACACATTAGGATCTAATGATTTCTCCAATGCTGTTATTGTTTTCTTAATCATTTCTCTTTTTCATGTGTTTTATCAAAACCCTTTTAATTTCAATAATTGATGAATCTCTCTATTACTTACTCTCAAACTGTGAATTTTCCATGGTCGTGATGTAGTAACAATGGTGTATTTCTTTGTAAAAGTCACGTTCAGGAAGCCTGCCTGGAACTCATTTCTAGTCTCACTGTCAAAAAGACCATTCATCTAAACCATCAAGCAAAATAATTATCTTTTCAGAATCATTTTCCAGAAGTTTACTTAAATTTTTTATCTTATCATATCGCATTTCAAGCATTTCTTGGATACTTCGGATCTTTATGTTATGTCTAAGAGAAATATAAAACATAAAATCAAATTTGTTCATTTCCTTGACTCCTTCAAAATCATCATCTTCATTGTGTCCATCACTGTGTGCCATACACCAACAGTTGATCAAATATTTACAGAAACTACTCTTACCAGACCCTGCATCTCCAATAACATAAATAAATTTCTGTGGTTCCCCGTTCTTGGTGAAAATCTCTGACATGGACTCTATTTCTTTTTCCTCAGACTCCCCTCTGTTCTTTTCTATCTTGCTTGTTATAGTGGGTCTTATATAAATGTCACTGAAGTTACAATTTTCCTCATCTGGTTGTAAAGGTATTGCGATACCTTAAGTACATCACTGCAATAATGTTCTATCAATTGAGTACGACAATCTGAAATTTAATAAACAGCCCATAAAATCAGGCATGCTTACAAATTATCTAAATATATCAAGATTCCCTCACAAGAAATTTGTGAAATACAGACAATCTAGAGAAATCTCAAGACATTGAAATGATGATTTTGTAGTAAGTGTTGTTTTGTTAAAGTATAAATTAAATACAAAAATATATGTTATTGTTATTGTAAGCAAAACAAAAATAAAAGCTTACATATTTTTTGATTCTATGAAAGATATCTAGAATTACGAAAATGCATATTTACTATAAGGTGATAAAAACATAACAGGTTTTGATAAAAGTAATTCTTTACATAATTATGTAAGCCTACTAGGTCATATACTAGGTCATAAATGTTTTTTGTCCCTTAAATATTATTTGTAAACAATTTATTTAAATAAATGGTGAAATCGTAATATATATGACACAATTTGCTTCAAACAAATGACTTTCATATAAAATATATTACTAATAACTCAATTATCACAAAATCATAGCTAAATAATGATCATGATAACCAATGGCTTAATTTCCGTAACTGTACGGTGCTGTACAAAAAACATCCAAGAACAAGAGGGCCATGATGGCCCTGAGGTCGCTCACCTGTATATAGCCCCCCCCGGGCCAATTTTTACCCAAGGGCTTTTATTTGTTTATTTGAACAAACTTGGTAGACACCCATAAGAAGCTGTTTCATGCTAAACATCTAAGTTCTAGCTCATTGGGTTTTTTAAAAGAAGATTTTTTAAGTTTTTACTATACACATATAGTTAAAAACAATGACACCCCTGGGGCAGGGCCAGTTTTGACCCCCGGCTTTAATTTGTAGATATTTTACTTATAGATGTTTCATGCTTAATATCTAAACAAAAGCTATTTGGGGTTTTTTCAAAGAAGATTTTTAAGTTTTTGCTATACACATATAAGGAAAAATCAATGACCCCCGGGGCGGGGCCAGTTTTGACCCCAGGGCTTTTATTTGAACATACTTGGTAGACACCCATTAGAAACATGTTTCATGCTAAATATCTTAGCTCTAGCTCTTTGGGTTCTTTAAAAGAAGATTTTTTAAGTTTTTTACTATATGCATATAGGGAAAATCAATGACTCCCTGGGGCGGGGCCAATTTTGACCCCAGGGCTTTTATTTGAACAAACTTGGTAGACATTCACAAGAAGATGTTTCATGCCAAATATCTAAGCTCTAGCTCTTACGGTTCTTTAAAAGAAGATTTTTTAAGTTTTTAATATATGCATATAGGGGAAAATCAATGACCCCAAGGGCGGGGCCAATTTTGACCCCAGGGCTTTTATTTGAACAAACTTGGTAGACACTCACTAGAAGATGTTTCATGCCAAATATCTTAGCTCTAGCTCTTTGGGTTCTTTAAAAGAAGATTTTTTAAGTTTTTACTATATGCATATAGGGAAAATCTATGACCCCCTGGGGCAGGGCCAATTTTGACCTCAGGGCTTTTATTTGAACAAACTTGGTAGACACTCATTAGAAGATGTTTCATGCTAAATATCTTAGCTCTAGGTCTTTGGGTTCTTTAAAAGAAGATTTTTTAAGTTTTTACTATATGCATATAGGGAAAATCAATGACCCACTGGGGTGGGGCCAATTTTGACCCCAGGGCTTTTATTTGAACAAACTTGGTAGACATTCACTAAAAGATGTTTCATGCCAAATATCTAAGCTCTAGCTCTTACAGTTCTTTAAAAGAAGATTTTTTTAAGTTTTTACTATATGCATATAGGGAAAATCAATGACCCCCTGGGCGGGGCCAATTTTGACCCCAGGGCTTTTATTTGAACAAACTTGGTAGACATTCTTTAGAAGATGTTTCATGCCAAATATCTAAGCTCTAGCTCTTACAGTTCTTTAAAAGAAGATATTTAAAGATTTTTCTTTCGGTTGCCATGGCAACCAGAGTTCTGCATGGAATTAAATTCTTTGAACAATTTTTAAAGGTGACCACCAAAGGAACATTCCTGTGAAGTTTGGATGAAATTGGCTGAGTGGTTTATGAGGAGATGTCATTTAAAGCAAAAGTTTACGGACGGACGGACGCCGGACGAAAAGCGATCACAAAAGCTCACCCTGTCACTTTGTGACAGGTGAGCTAAAAAAATGGGGGCCTCCATTACTAAATACAATTTAGACTTCCCTCGCTGTGTTTTGTAAATTAAGGACTGAAATTGGTGGGTTTTGTTTGCAAAAAGGCTAAAAATTGATCTTTTTGAGAACCCTGCCACATTATTTTGATGAAATTTTTCTTTTTCAGACTACCAACCTGGCAATAATCTTAAATCACCGGACCGGTGCTAAATTTAGTGGCCTATGGCCTTGGACTGGCACTTATTTCGAAGACTGTATTGTTTTTAACAAAATGCCTTTTCATTATCTATATGACATTACTGTTTTAGCCTTTTCATATTCTATATAACATACCAGATTTAGTATTTTCATATTCTATATAACAAACCTGAATTTACCCCTTCATATTATATATAACATACCTAATTTAACCTTTTCATATTCTATATAACATACCTGATTTAGCCTTTTCATATTGTAATTGTTTTTGTTCAGGAGAATCTTCTACCTTGAGTCTTTTTATCTCCTACAACATAAAATATAATACAAACAATTGTGTTTTATTTATTAAATTTTCAAAAATGTTTATTGTATAAAGTAATACATGTATTTGTATATTCAGTCCGTTTGTATAACATACAGCTTCCAAATATACAGTATAATTTCTACGAGACAAACTTCGATAAGTTGATTACAGTAATACAAAAATACATGTACAGGTTTAAACAGTCACACATGTACCGGTATATCAACCAGAAACAAACAGTAATACATGTACCAGTATATCAACCAGAAACAAACAGTAATACATGTACCAGTATATCAACCAGAAACAAACAGTTATACATGTACCAGTATATCAACCAGAAACAAACAGTTATACATGTACCAGTATATCAACCAGAAACAAACAGTAATACATGTACCAGTATATCAACCAGAAACAAACAGTAATACATGTACCAGTATATCAACCAGAAACAAACAGTAATACATGTACCGGTATATCAACCAGAAACAAACAGTAATACATGTACCAGTATATCAACCAGAAACAAACAGTAATACATGTACCAGTATATCAACCAGAAACAAACAGTAATACATGTACCAGTATATCAACCAGAAACAAACAGTAATACATGTACCAGTATATCAACCAGAAACAAACAGTAATACATGTACCAGTATATCAACCAGAAACAAACAGTAATACATGTACCAGTATATCAACCAGAAACAAACAGTAACACATGTACCGTTATATCAACCAGAAACAAACAGTTATACATGTACCAGTATATTAACCAGAAACAAACAGTTATACATGTACCAGTATATTAACCAGAAACAAACAGTTATACATGTACCAGTATATTAACCAGAAACAAACAGTTATACATGTACAGGTATATCAACCAGAAACAAACAGTTATACATGTACCAGTATATTAACCAGAAACAAACAGTCATACATGTACCAGTATATAAACAAAAAACAAACAGTTATACATGTACCAGTATATTAACCAGAAACAAACTGTTATACATGTACCAGTATATTAACCAGAAACAGTTATACATGTACCAGTATATTAACCAGAAACAAACAGTTATACATGTACCAGTATATCAACCAGAAACAAACAGTAATACATGTACCAGTATATAAACCAGAAACAAACAGTTATACATATACCAGTATATTAACCAGAAACAAACTGTTATACATGTACCAGTATATTAACCAGAAACAAACAGTTATACATGTACCAGTATATTAACCAGAAACAAACAGTTATACATGTACCAGTATATCAACCAGAAACAAACAGTTATACATGTACCAGTATATCAACCAGAAACAAACAGTTATACATGTACCAGTATATTAACCAGAAACAAACTGTTATACATGTACCAGTATATTAACCAGAAACAGATATACATGTACCAGTATATTTTACCAGAAACAAATAAGTTATACATGTACCAGTATATTAACCAGAAACAAACAGTTATACATGTACCAGTATATCAACCAGAAACAAACAGTTATACATGTACCAGTATATCAACCAGAAACAAACAGTTATACATGTACCAGTATATTAACCAGAAACAAACAGTTATACATGTACCAGTATATCAACCAGAAACAAACAGTTATACATGTACCAGTATATCAACCAGAAACAAACAGTTATACATGTACCAGTATATTAACCAGAAACAAACATTAATACATGTACCAGTATATTAACCAGAAAAAAGCAATAGAAACACATTCAACCTCTTTAAGTTCTGTCTCAAGAGCAGTAAATTTTCTTTCTAATTCTGTATGTATTTTCTCAGCCTCCTCCTTTTCTTTGGTCATCTGTTCTTTAAGTTCTGTTAATTCATTTTTAAGTCCCTCGTGTTCCTCTGATGATTTACGAATTTTCGTCATTTCTTCTTTGATTTGTCTCAACATTTCTTCAAAGCCTTCTGTCGTAATAATGAAGTCTTTCTTCTTCAGCTGATGAAAATAATAAATTTTCTTACAAAATAATCTCTCTTCTTCCTTTGTTTAAATTCTCTTACTTTTTTGAGAACATAAAAGTCCACTTTACAACAGGAATCTGATAGTCAGACTTTTTTATTTTCAACATATTGTTTTCATACTTATAATAACAAACTAAAATACTGTAATTTCTTTTCTCATAATTTAATATTCTGTAGGTATTTTTATTTGATTTCATCAAGATAAGTTAACTTAAGGCAGTTGTTACTTAAATTTGACTAACATGAACTAGCCACTTCAAGCACTTTTTTTTCTATTCAACTCCGTAAATTAAGTAAAATGTGCTTATTTTAAAATATGATAATTTAATTCTTTTAAGGTTTCAAACTTATAATTAATTATGTACACTTACATCTTGAAGTTTCCCAACAGCTTGTTGTGCATCTTGTCTTGCATAAACGAATATCCAGTTTTTATATCACTAGATAGAATATTTTCTTAAGATGTGTAAAAATATTGGGAAATTAATTATGTCTTTTCAACAATACATGCATTGAAGGAATTTATACAAGAAAATGTCAAAAAACCATTTTCTGAAAAATATTGAGTAAGAATAGTCTTGCGCCTAGCCCTCGCTATACTTTACCACTTCAAACTCTGTTACGTAAACTTTGTCCTGAATTAAGTGGTATGTTATCTTAAATCATTATAAGTTAACTCCATAAAGATTTCAAACTGACACAATTCATTATTTACACTTACATCTTGAAGTTTCTTCACTGCTATCTGGGCATCTGATCGGTGTAATAGCTCTTTACCATCTTGTAAAACTGCTATCATATCGTCTAAGTAAGTATTTGCCTCACTTTCTTCTAATTCCATGCTGCTTGAGTGAAAGATAGCATTTCTATAGTGACGAACCTATTGAATAAAAAACACAGTTTCAACATTATTATATGCATAAATATACAGTGATTAGCAAATCAAAATTGTTTTGTAGAAAATTGTTTGGGTACTTACCTACATATAAGATGCTATCATGAATTATACAGGCATTTTTCATATATTTTACAAAAATGTCACATGGCAAATTTGGGATAATTGTGTCTTAATTTTCTATTCGAACAAGAGCCAGTTGAACCGGGTGATGCTCCCCAAATAGGTTTTGGACACAGAAAGGTATACCTCTTGTAGTGTCAGAGTTATTTTACAGACAAAGTTCAAAGTGTAAAAACAACCCAAATATTGCGCACGACACATTGTCTCAATATGGCGATCATTTCTGTGAAAAAGTTGGAAAATCCGACTTCAAATAACAAAGTTATGGGCTGGACACGATTTTGGTGCAAGGTCATGCTGTAACCTTCACCTTCAAGGTAGTGCCCAAATGTTGCGCATGACACGTCGTCTAAATATGCTGATCATTTCTGTTAAATAGTTGTTAAATCAGACTTAAAATAACGAAGTTATGGGCCGGACACGATTTTGCTGCAAGGTCATGCCGTGACCTTCACCTTCAAGGTAGCGCCCAAATGTTGCGCATGACACGTCGTCTAAATATGGTGATCATTTCTGTTAAATAGTTGTTAAATCAGACTTAAAATAACGAAGTTATGGGCTGGACAGGATTTTCCTGCAAGGTCATGCTGTGACATTCACCTTCAAGGTAACCACCCAAATGATGCCCACGACACATCATCTCAATATGGTGATCATTTCTGTGAAATAGTTTTAAAATCTGACTTCAAAGAACAAAATTATGCGCCAGACACGATTTTGCTGCAAGGACATGCTGTGACCTTGACTTTCAAGGTAGCGACCCAAATGTTACATGCGAAACGTTGATTCAATATGGTGATCATCTCTGTGAAATAGTCGTTAAATTCGACTTCAAGTAACGAAGTTATGGGCCGGACAATATTTTGCTGCAAGGTCATGCTGTGACCTTGAACTTCAAGGTAGTTACCAAAATGTTGCGCACGGCACACTATCTCAATATGGAGATCATTTCTGTGAAAAAGTTGTAAAATCGGACTTAAAACAAGAGCTGTCGGTAGGACAGCAACGCTCGACTATTCTTAGTGCTTGATAGTAAAAAAAATGCTTGATACAGTTACCTCCTCCTGTTTACAGGTTGGGGTCATGATGGTGAACAAGTGTGCAAAGTTTCAAAGCCATATGTCAATGGACTTTGAAAATATTTGAACTATTACAAAAACTTTAACGTAAATTCTAAGTCGAAAAAGGGGCATAATTCTGTCAAAATGCTTGATAGAGTTACCTCCTCCTGTTTACAGGTTGGGGTCATGATGTTGAACAAGTGTGCAAAGTTTCAAAGCCATATGTCAATGGACTTTGAAAATATTTGAACTATTACAAAACTTTAACATAAATTCTAAGTCAAAAAAGGGGCATAATTCTGTCAAAATGCTTGATGAGTTTCCTCCTCTTGTCTACAGGTTGGGGTCATGATGGTGAACAAGTGTGCAAAGTTTCAAAAGCCATATGTCAATGGACTTTGAAAAATATTTGAACTATTACAAAAACTTTAACGTAAATTCTAAGTCGAAAAAAGGGGCATAATTCTGTCAAAATTCTTGATAGAGTTACCTCCTCCTGTCTACAGGTTGGGGTCATGATGGTGAACAAGTGTGCAAAGTTTCAAAGCCATATGTCTATGGACTTTGAAAATATTTGAACTATTACAAAAACTTTAACATAAGTGGTTACGCCGACGCCGACGCTCGGGTGACTGCAATAGCTCTACTTATTCTTATCGAATAGTCGAGCTAAAAAGGGGCATAATTCTGTCAAAATGCTTGATAGAGTTACCTCCTCCTGTCTACAGGTTGGGGTCATGATGTTGAACAAGTGTGCAAAGTTTCAAAGCCATATGTCAATGGACTTTGAAAATATTTGAACTATTACAAAAACTTTAACGTAAATTCTAAGTCGAAAAAGGGGCATAATTCTGTCAAAATGCTTGATAGAGTTACCTCCTCCTGTCTACAGGTTGGGGTCATGATGTTGAACAAGTGTGCAAAGTTTCAAAGCCATATGTCAATGGACTTTGAAAATATTTGAACTATTACAAAAACTTTAACATAAGTGGTTACGCCGACGCCGACGCTCGGGTGACTGCAATAGCTCTACTTATTCTTATCGAATAGTCGAGCTAAAAATGAAGTGATGGGCCGGACACAATTTTCCTGCAAGGTCATGCTGTGACCTTTTCCTTCAAGGTAGTGATCCAAACATTGTGTGAGACTTATCGTCTCAATATTATGATCATTTCTGTGAAATAATTTTAAAATACGAATCCAAATAACGAAGTTATGGGCTGGACACGATTTTGCTGCAAGGTCATGCCGTGACCTTCACCTTCAAGGTAGCGCCCAAATGTTGCGCATGACACATCGTCTAAATATTGTGATCATTTCTGTTAAATAGTTGTTAAATCAGACTTAAAATAACGAAGTTATGGGCTGGACAGGATTTTCCTGCAAGGTCATGCTGTGACATTCACCTTCAAGGTAACCACCCAAATGATGCTCACAACACATCATCTCAATATGGTGATCATTTCTGTGAAAAAGTTTTAAAATCTGACTTCAAAGAACAAAGTTATGTGCCAGACACGATTTTGCTGCAAGGACATGCTGTGACCTTGACTTTCAAGGTAGTGACCCAAATGTTACATGCGAAACGTTGATTCAATATGGTGATCATCTCTGTGAAATAGTCGTTAAATTCGACTTCAAGTAACGAAGTTATGAGCCGGACACGATTTTGCTGCAAGGTCATGCTGTGACCTTGACCTTCAGGGTAGCGACCCAAATTTGTGTGTGACACGTGGTCTCAATATGCCTTATGGTGATCATTTCTGTGAAATTGTTGTAAAATCCGACTTCAAATAACAAAGTTATTGGGTGGACATGAATTTGGGACGTATGTACGTCCGGACGGACATACCATTGTTACTTTTGATGTTTATGAGGCAAACCAGCTCATAAACACCACCTGGACCAAAGTCCATAGGCAAAATAAGCTCATAAAAACAAAAAAATAGTTCTTAATTTGAATTTTATGAGTTTTTGTTCTTTATTTAACTACGGAATGAAGCTCTAATCAAATGTTTGCTCGGACTGACATGCGGACTGACGGATATTCTCAAAGTAATTATGTGGCTACTCTATTGTTCTCTCTATTGTTCTTTTTAGCCACACAAAAAAATAGCCACATAAAAGCATTACGGAATGAACTAGACCTATCACTGAAGGTGGTTAATACCCCACCAGCAACTTTGACTTTTGAAAAAATAAGTTGTCTGAAGAAAAATTTGAAATAAACCTACAGAAAATAAAGTACCATCAGCACTGTGTACAAAGAATTATTTCAATTTATTGCAATCCCAACTAGGATCTTGATATGAGCTTGTTAATACACCAAGTTTGATAACAATATCTCATTCCTAAACCCTAGTAATTGTCTGGAAACCATTTTTCTATTTTTAGTAACTGTGACCTTGAACCCAGGGAGTCCAAATGCAATACCAAGCGCGGTCTTCATGTAAGCTTGCTAAACACCAAGTTTGATTACAATATCTCATTCCTAACTTAAGTTATTGTCCGGAAACCATTTTTCTATTTTTAGTAACGGTGACCTTGACCTTGGCCCAAAGGGGGTCCAGATGCAATACCAACCAGGGTCTTCATATAAGCTTGCTATACACCACTTTGATTACAATATCTCATTCCTAACTTAAATTATTGTCCGGAAACCATTTTTCTATTTTTAGTAACGATGAACTTGACCTTGGCCACAGGGGGTCCAGATGCAATACCAATCGGGGTCTTCATATAAGCTTGCTGTACACCAAGTTTGATTACAATATCTCATTCCTAACTTTAGTTATTGTCCGGAAACCATTTTTCTATTTTTAGTAACGGTGACCTTGACCTTGGCCCCAGGGGGTCCAGATGCAATACCAACAGGGGTCTTCATATAAGCTTGCTGTACACCAAGTTTGATTACAATATCTCATTCCTAACTTAAGTTATTGTCTGGAAACCATTTTTCTATTTTTAGTAATGGTGACCTTGACCTTGCCCCCAGGGGGTCCAGATGCAATACCATACGGGGTCTTCATATAAGCTTGCTATATACTAAGTTTGATTACAATATCTCATTCCTAACTTTAGTTATTGTCCGGAAACCATTTTTCTATTTTTAGTAACGGTGACCTTGGCCCCTAAGGGGGTCCAAATGCAATACCAACTGGGGTTTCCACATAAGGTTGCTATATACCAAGTTTGATTACAATACCTCACTCCAAACTCTAGTCATCGTCTGGAAACCATGATGTGGACCGACCGACGGAATGACCAACCGGCCGACAAGGTGACTCCTATATACCCCCCCTAAACTTCGTTTGTGGGGGTATAATGACATCAAAGAGGAAGAACAGTTACCTATTGTCACTCTAGCCATATTATAACTGTCCTGTGAGTGCAGACTGACGGATGGACAACCCGGCGACTATGTGCTCCCCCGAAATTTTTCGGTGAGTATAAAAAAATTATGAAATTTATCATTTCGGAAAATATGCCAGCATTCAAGATGTTCAAATTCTTTTAACAAAGCTTAATAAATCTTATTGAAACTGAAATTAAAACATATCGGCAATTTTCAGAACCTCCACACCAAGTACAAAAGGTGGTACCTTTGAAACCATTGAAGAAGACTGGTAAATTTGTATACTTTTGTTGTGAATCTTTAGATTTTCATTTTCAATTTTACTTTGGATGCTGAATATACAGCATTTACATTACAATACAGCTAATAAAAGATAAACAAGACACTTTATTAATAATTTACCTTTGTAAAAAGATTGTTTGTTACTGTGACATCACATCCAATGTGGCTATGAAAATACTGGTTATTTATCATTAGATGTAATAACCCAGTGCAATCAGTTTCACCAGCAGATTGTTTCTGCTCGTACCCTGGAGCATTTATAAAACACTTACAAATGCTCCAAGGATCTGTCACCCACTGTAGAGCATCGGTGTTTTTTCCAGTTAGGTGCAGGTGGCGTGGAAGCATGATGCTGCACAATAAAGTCATAGATGGCGCCACATATGTTGTTTGGACAAGCAATTTTTCCCTTAAAGCAACAGCTGCATTTTACTTGACCAAATGGACAAACTTTGTTTTTAGCATTCCCTAATGGCTTATGGTCTGGCTTTAGAGTTTCAACTTGACAGCTGCCACACGTCACAATTGATGGTAGTGACTTTGTAGACCGAATGTTTTGTAAGATATCGTTATGTTGTTGGACAGCTATGTCATTACAGAATGGTACCAGTCCCTCCTTTAAATATCCAAGTCCTAAACCAGCCTTTACCCACTGCCTGTATTTTTCCTTCTCTAAATGAAGTTGATGTGCCATCCTGATACTCTATCAATATCTAAACAAACAAAACAAAAAGATTATGTTTGATTTTATATAAATAAGTAAATAAGGTCTTGGATTGAATTTAAAGTTCAAAAATATTGAATAAATATGATATGCAATCAATTTCAACCATTATGGACTTTCTTTTCTACAGACGATATCTCCAGTTGATATTAAACTAAGAGAAGTACATGTAATATACTATGTGTTTGATTCATTGTGACCATTATATGAGCTAGACTTTTGCATCCATCTTAATGTATTTTGGTATTAAATAAAAAGACAGTACATACCAATAGGAGGGCCATGATGGCCCTGAAATTGCTCACCTGTATATAAAAACTATCAATGACAAGAAACGAGTAATAGTGTTACAAGCTATAAACAAATTAAAGCAGATATAAAATCTAAATCTTTAACTGATAACACAAAGTTCATATATGTATCTGAAATAGTGTGTGGGTAAACTAAAAATGTGTCCATAGGACACGGGTGCCCCCACCGCAACACTGTTTTGTCAATCTTTTTTACTAAGTCAAGGGAAATAACTCTACAAATACTGGATAAATCCACAAGGGAAACCCCAGGTGCAAATCTAAAATATGCTGAGCAACCTGCCCATAAGGTTTATTGACTATGTCAAATCCTTTTTGAGAAACTTGCGACACAAGTTGAAAATTGCAAAAATTTTCTAAGTGAAGGGCAATAACTCTAAAAACACTAAATAAATCCAGACAAAAATACCTGGTGCACAACTGCACATGCTGATGAATATTCCTGTAAAGTTTCATGACTCTAGGTCAAATAATTTTTGAGTTATGTGCGAAACAAGTTGAAAATTGCAAAATTTTACTAAGTCAAGGGCAATAACTCTGAAAAATATTAAAAAATATCTAGACAAAATAACCAGGTGCACAACTACACATGCTGATCAACATTCCTGTAAAGTTTCATGACTCTAGGTCATATACTTTTTGAGTTACGTGCGGACACAAAAAAGTGAACGGACGGACGGAACGGACAGAGGACGTACGGACGGACAAGGGTAAATCTAAATGCCCGCCACTAATGTGGGGCACAAAAACATAAGTGTTTTTAATTATATATACATTAAAAGAAAATCAATGACCCCCGCCCCTGGACAGGGCCAAATTGACCCCTGGGCCTTTTTAACAAACTTGGTAGACACTCACTAAAAATGTTTCAAGCTAAATATCTAAGCTCTATGCACTAGCTCTTTTTGGGTTAATAAAAGAGGACTTTTTTAAGTTTTTTACTATACACGAATAAGGAAAATCAATGAGCCCCGTGCAGGGCTAATTTTAACCACAGGGCTTTTACTTTAAAAAACTGTGTAGAAACCCAATTAAAAAAGTTTCATGCTAAAAATATCTAAGATTTTAGCCCCTTTTTTGGGGTTTTTAAAAAAAGTTTTTTAGGTTTTTTTCTATTAAAGTATACATAAAAGGGAAAAATAATTTCCCCCGTGGGTGGGCCCGTTATTTTTACCCCCGGCTATTTTTTGAACAAAATAGGGGTTTACCCCTCACTAGAGGAGTTTTTGCTAATATCTAACTCTTTTCTTTGGGTTTTTTTTAAAAAAGATTTTTTTTAAGAAATTTTTTTCGGTTGCCCCTGGGGACAGCGTTCTGCATGGAATTAAATTCTTTTAAAACATTTTTAAAGGGGCATCCTTTTTGGGGGGTTTGGGGTTTAAAAAGGCTGTGATTAAAGAGGAGATGCTGTTTTAAAAATAAAAGTTTTCAGACGAACGTTTCCCGGGAAAATCGGACGAAAAGCAATCACAAAAATTCACCTTGTAACTTTGTGACAGATGAGCTAAAAAGTAGGGGTTGTAATCGATTTCAATGATATCGGTGTATAACAATCTTTTTTTTATCTGATTGATATCGATTCCATCTTTAAATATATCGAATGCACACATATTTCAAGCTTAAAAGACACTTCAGCAAACAGGTTTTATAGTACAGATAGACCAAACGTCAAAATAAAAGCGAAATATAAAGTTATGGAAGCCAGAACTAACATATTCGAAACTTTTTTTTTCTACCTCCCACTGCCCGTCTGTAGATTTTCCACAGTCTTTCTGGAAAAACTCTGGAAAATAGCTGATTTTCCATGAATTTCCATGAATTTTCATGAAAACAAGCTTTTTTCCACAGTATTTACAGAGTACTCTGGAACAATTTTCATGGAGAACTCTCTGGAACTTGACTTTTTTCATCAAAGAAATAACCATGAAACACTTCTGGAAACTCTGGAAAGTTAACACTTTGACAATTTTCAAGGAGTTTTACTCTGGGAAAACACTTAGTCATTTTTTGAGAAAGTTTTGGACTTAGGAAATTTTCATTTGATTGCTGCATTTATGTACACTTTCATTTAATACATTAAACTTTAATATTTTTTTTTAAGTTAAAAGCATAAATAATCTTTTTAATATAATTACAGTTTTCTGGTTTTAAGACATAATTAAAATAAAGACAATTTAAAATATGGCATTGACACAATTGTAAACTGTTGACCAGATATTTAAAAAAAACAGCAAGAACATTTTTTAATGACTTTAATTACTTAGCACTGAGATTGGTCATACATGTATACTAACTGTAATTAAAAAGTAGCAGTTGTCAAAAACAAAAACTTTATAGTTAAAACAAAATGAGACCGTCATAAGCCCATCAGAGCTTAACTGTTTCTTTTTTATTGCAAAAAAAACAAACAAAAAAACAACAACAACATGCAACCCCATTGCCACACTTTGGCATTGAAAATGCATTAAGTTATTGTTTCATTTAACTTTCATTATTTTCCAAGGTATCTCATATCAAGCCTGATCTGAGTGGTTCATTATTATATATTACATAAGTTAGAAAAAATAAATACACAATTAAAAGAAACAATTTAAATTTAAGAACAAATGTAATTGTTATGCACTTATATTTCTTTATTAATTGATGATAAATTTATTATGTATCTCTATTGAAGTAAATATAATTTATATATTCATCCTGTGTAGAAGTAACTTATTGCATAGTGATTAATTTCTGGAACATTCAAAATCAGCATCAGCCACAATGTAAATATTTATGACCTCTCAAGTGGAACCACTGGTTTCATAACTACCAAGGTTAAACTCACCTATCTGATATAAGAGAATAAAAAGAGGTAAAGCAGGTTTACAAATACTATATACACTGTAGCTCTCAAGTAATTAATACCCTTTGCAGAACAAATCACAGGTCAGAACACTCTTCCAGATGGTCATTTGAACAGAAGAATTGAAAAGATGATGTTTATTAGTGCCCTAACTGCTTAAAGTGATAACTTGAAATATTATGTTTGAGCATTGGAAATTAGATCAAATGAGTTTAAACTGGACAAATTTTACAAAAGTTTTCTGGAAATATGAACTTTTAACATGTGTATTTCATGATTCAGTTAAATGGAGGGAACTACATGTATATAACCATTTCTAACAGTAAGTACAAATGTATTTTTATTTTTTAACACTTATTATGTTAGTTTTTTCAAACTTTTCTTTGCAAGTATACACTGTTTCAGTGTTTGTATTTCTACATACATGTAATTTTTCAATATTAGATAGATAGTTTTTAAGAAAAATCTTTTTCATTTTTTAAATAATGGCGGGGAAATTTTAATCAGAGATAATTATTTTCCATTCAAAAATATTGGTTGATTGAAACAGATTCCATATCAAGCAATGAATTTCCAATTAACATTTTTAATAAAATTCATAATATGCCTTAATGTAATTTCTTGTATCATGTACATATGTTTATTTTTTCAAACATATTAGGTTGCAAAATTTCAAGTCTTTGGAGTCACATGAGATGTTTCAACTCAAAGGATGTCAGATGAGGGAAAAGTGATAAATGTACTGCTTGAACAGAACTATCCTGGTAATAATTTAGTTTGTTTTGTAAAAAAAAGTTGAAGTAAATGTTTTTTCAAAATAAATGCATGCTATTTTTCAAAACTCTAAACAAAATTTTGTTCTTCATGTTTAATGCATATATTATTGTTGTTACTGACCCTCAAACTTTCAGTGGTAATTAAGTATTTGAGGGGATTAAGTAATTTAAACTGCAATTACATACAGTTGTCATTATATAGATATAGAAAAGCAGGGAGAAATAATTGACACAAGTTTATCATAATGTTAAGTTGACCAAAAATAAATTATTTCATCAAAGCATGGTGTTTACTTGATAACTCTGTGCTGATATTCTGCAAAAGTTATTTAATTGAAAGTTTTCCATCTTAACTTTTTTCACCTTTCATGTTTTTTATCATTTATTATCATGTTTAAACAATTACTAATTATATTACATTGTGCATAAACCACAAGTACATGTATTTTATATACTATTAATCCATTACTTTTTCAGTATCATCGGAGAGGTCACACCACAAGTCAAGAAGATGTTGCCATCATGTGAAGACAGTGAAAGTGAATAAACACTCTGACATAGAAATAATTGTGAAATGTGCAAATTACTATAAATAAGTGTTTGAATTCTTGACAACTAGAGTGTTTTTTTGGATTTGGTAATAAAAATACAAATGCAAATTAAAAAAGGTCATTTGATTTAGTATGCAACCATCATTTCAGATAATCCCAAATTTCAGAATTATTTCAAGGCTAAATGCATTTTTCCCTGAGATCCTATTAACTGCGGAACTTTTTCCAGAGCGGCTCCAGAACATTTTCCAGAGTAACTCCGGAACATTTTCCAGAGTAACTCCGGAACATTTTCCAGAGTAAATCCGGAACATTTTTTTTCCAGAATATTATGTCATTTTAGCAGACCAATTTCCAGAGTTGCTTGAAAAAAAACCTCTGGAACATTTCATGGAAAACTCCGGAAAAGTTTCATGAAAAAAAAGCTCTGGAAATTCATGGGAAAGTATATGAAAATTCACGATTTTTTTTTTCAAAGTTTTCTTTGAACAACTCCGGAAAACTA